AGGCGACGTCCGGCACACGCGGACGCCGCCCCCTCGCGGCTGGCCAAACTAATGCGGGTGGAGGGGAAACCCACCCCGTCCACCCGCGGCCACACTCAGGGCGGCATGAGGCTGTGGTAGGCGGGCCTCCGCCGCCCGGTTCGCCGGCGGCGGATCGGGTCCGAGTGGAGGTCGTCCTCCCGGGCCCTCTCCGCCGCCTCCTTCCGCGAGATTACTACCTCGCAGAAGGTTGCGACCGCGGTAAAACAACTGTCGCTACCGGCCATGGAGCGTACTACGGCCGGTAGCGAGAGATCCACTCCGATGACTGCAGTGAGGGCCCGGCGCTGCGCCGCCCATGCGGGGCAGACCGCCAGCGTGTGCTGGGCCGAGTCCTCACTGCAGTCGCAGTGGTGGCAGGCGGGACTCAGTTCCCTCCTAGCGACCGTGTGCAGGTACTTTCCGAAGCAACCGTGCCCGGAAAGCACCTGCGTCAGTCGGAAGGAAAGGGTCCCGTGCTGCCGCCCTGCCCACTCGGCGATGACCGGCTGGAGAGCCTCCACGGCGGCGAAGCCAGCGCGTGGAGTCTCCAGCCGGAACGACCAACGAGCCATCGTGGCTCGGCGAGCGGCTTCGCGCCACTCGCGCACATCCTCGGGCGGAGGGCGAAATCCGCTCTCCGCCCAATCGGAATCGGAAACGGTGCGGTAACCGCGTATGGCTCTGACCGCCATTACCCTCTGAGGGCGCCAGAGGCGTACCCTATTCTGGGCGGTCAGAGCCGCCGCCCACACCGGTGCACCGTACAGTGCCATTGACCGGACAACCCCCGTGTACAGCCGTCTTGTCGCGACGCTGGGTCCACCCATATTGGGCAAAAGTCGCCCTAGGGCAGACGCAGCGCCGACCAGCTTTGGAGCAAGCTGTCGGAAGTGCTCGTCGAAGAGCCACCTCCCGTCGAGGATCAGGCCCAGATATTTCATCTGGGCCCGAACCGGTACGAGGACCGAGTTGACCACGATTGAGGCGCCAGGGGGTGGACCACGACGGGGCCCATGAAATAACAGGGCCTCCGTCTTATCTAGGGCCACCCGTAAGCCCAGCGCCTCAATGCGCCCGACCACCAGGGAGACTCCCCCTGTGGCCAGGCGCGCCGCCTCTTGGAAGTTTGCCCCCCGGGCTGTCACGAGGGTATCGTCTGCGTAACAGATTACACCCAGCCCGGGGGGGAAATCGGCGCGAAGGGCCCAGTCGTACCCTATGTTCCACAAGAGGGGTCCAAGAACAGACCCCTGTGGAACACCGCACGACATGGGCCGACTCCTCAAATTACCTTCTCGGTCCTCGTACACGACGGTACGCTCCTCTAAATAGTCTGCCACCAGCCGCCTCAGGTACTTTGGCACCCCATGATAGTGGAGTGCTTCCCTGATGCAGCTGAATGGCAGACTATTGAATGCGTTGGCGATGTCCAATGACACCGCCAACAGCACGCCGCCACAGCTCACGGCCTCTTCGGTCACGGCCCTCAGGCGCAACACAGCGTCGACTGTCGAACGCCCCGCCCGAAAACCAAATTGGGCGTCCGACAGATCGGGGCCTACCTCGCAGAGGTGCCGGACGATGCGGGCAGAAAGAACCCTCTCAAACAATTTGCCCGCCTCGTCCAGCAGCACGATGGGCCTATAGGCCGCGACCGAATCGGCAGGCCGTCCCGGCTTCCTCAATAGGACCAGCTTCCCGCTCTTCCAGCACTCAGGGAAGCGTCCCGACGCCAAGCTAGCGTCGAACACCTCCCCGAGGCGGTCTGCCAAGTGGTTGAGGGCCAGGGCCAGCACTCGGGCCGGTACCCCGTCTGGCCCAGGGGCGGTGTTCTTGGAACGGATCCGTAGAACAGCCGCCCCTACCTCCGAATCCCGGACGGGCGGAACATTTTCCTCCCCGTGCTCCCCGTCGTCTCCGGCCAAGGAGGCCATCGCCGGGGGAGTGTGTTCCGCTCGTTGCGGGAAAAGGCCCTCAACCACTTCTCGCAGGAAGCTGGGCTGGAGAGTCTCCGTAAGGGGGGGGGGCCCGACGCGCGGAGCTTTTGTCGCACCGCGCGGTAAGGGCGACCCCAGGGGTCACGATTAAGACCCTCCAGCATCTCCTGTCTCTTTTCTTCTTTGGCGCGGCTAATGGCCAGCTTCAGAGTTTTCCGCGCCCGTCGGTACTCCTCATGAAGCCGGTCCTCCTCACCGTCTCCACGGTGACGCCGCCGACTGCGCGTGTAGGACCTCCGGGCACTTGTACAGGCCGCACGGAGGTCCGCCAGCTCCTGGGACCACCAGTAGACCTCCTTCCTTGGAGGCCGACGACCTCGAACGCGGGGCATGGCCGCATCGCATACATGCGTAATCGCATCGCGAAAGCGGCCAGCCCCACGTCGACCTCCTCGGTCGGAGCCTGAGGAGACAGCCACGAGTGAATTATGGCTGCCTCCTCTAGTAGGTCCCGGTTCAGCCTGGCAACAGCCCACCGCGGAAAGCGGGATAAACGCCGCGCCACGTGACCCCTACTGGAGTCCTGGGTCCGGGAGAGCTCAAATCGGATATACAGGTGATCCGAGAGCGTCTCAACCTCTTCCAGGACACACCAGTTCCTTACTCGTGCGGCGAGGGCAGGGGTAGCGAACGAAAGGTCCACTATCGACCCCCCCTGCTGTCGCACGCACGTGTTGGTGGAGCCTCTGTTTAGAAGACAGAGGCCCACCGAGGCCGCCCACTCAACAAACCCTATACCAACCCGTCTGGCCAGCGTGGTATAGTAGGCCAAAACCTCCTTTCTAAGGAGAGGCCTATGTCCAGCAGTGGATTAGTATAGGCTGTTGATGTGATGTGATGTGAGACCAACCGGCCTGTCGATATTATACCTATACTAATACTATTAAGCTGAAGTGTTTGTATGTTTGGTTGAAGAAGATAAGCGCAATCTCAGGAACTATTGGTTAGAATTGAAATATTTAAGTGTTGCATAGCCCATTAGTCGAGGAAAGCTAAAACATCATGCTACAACCAATAAGAACCAAGCATCAATGAAAAATGTTTAAAAAAGGACAAAATTTATTCCGTTTGAGAGACTAACACAAACTTGGTCGAGGCAGCTAGTTGTTTGAACGCGCTAATCTTAGGAACTACTGGTCCGATTTGAAAAATTCTTTCAGTGTTAGATAGCCCAATTATCGAGGAAGGCTATGGGTCTATATCATCACGCTAAGAGTAATAGGAGCGGAGCACCAATGAAGAATGATTCAAAAACGGAGAAAATTTATTACTATTGAGAGACGCAGACGAAGTTGCGCGGGTCAGCTAGTCTGAGATAATTCCGTTATTAGACACAACGAATTACAATCTAAAGTTAATACTGGTACCTTATTGGGATAACGGTAATAGAGTTACACACTGCTGTAAGGTGTAAAGTACTAATAAAATTGCCGTAATGAGTTTTATTTAACAAATAATTAGTCTAAAAAACTTTGCTAATAAGATGTGTCTGTAGTCGAGCCAACTCAAATTAATACCCCTCTTTATGTAAGGGGAGACGAAAGTTAGTACCTACAATCAAACCTATTAGCAAGTAAAAGCTTTTTGTCCAGACGCGTCCTCGGATTTTCATGACACGAATTCTAAAAATTGTATTCAGAGAACTGCTCTGTGTAGTCTACAATATAACTGTCTTTAGAAAATTTACTTTTTTACGCTTCAAACTAAAATTATATCTGCATGATCATATTTTTAAACACAATAACAATTGTTAAGTTAATAAATAATTATATTATTAACGTATTATACGCCGCTAGAGTCGGCCGTCATAGAGTAGGCTGTAGGGCTTTTTATCTTTGCTTTGTTTCTTTTCTGTTTGCCGCCATGTAATTCAGGCGTATACCTAAAAAAAACTTCTCTTCCTTCTTTTTTAAACTCAATATGAAATAATAATTCCGTGTTGCGTGTTTTGGAGGTCACTATACAGTAAATAAACGGGTAACAAAGTAAACTCAGACTGAGAACAAACATCTGTGGGGAAATCACAATTTATTTCGGGCTAGAGTCCACACACACTATGTGTAAATAAATAGATGATTAATATTACGCCCTTGCGTTAAATGTTTTGTTGAAAATACTAAGGAATATTTTGTACAAGCGTAGATTTATTTAAACACCATAAATACCGGTAGTCTGTTCTGTTATAAAATCGTATGAAAAATATTATCTATACTAATATTATAAAGCTGAAGAGTTTGTTTGTTTGTTTGTTTGAACGCGCTAATCTCAGGAACTACTGGTCCGATTTGAAAAATTCTTTCAGTGTTACATAGCCCATTTATCGAGGAAGGCTATAGGCTATATATCATCACGCTAAGGTCAATAGGAGCGGAGCACCAATGAAGAATGTTTCAAAAACGGAGAAAATTTATTACTATTGAGATACGCAGACGAAGTTGCGCCGGTCAGCTAGTGCAATATACCTATTTATTTAGGACTAGCTTTTTGCTCTGCCTGCGTGTAAGTCGTTTATCGCAAATCGGTTAATAGTAGCCTATGTCGTTCCTCAAGGATCAAGCTATATCCATACCAAATTTCATGTAAACCAGCGGTTTTTGGTTCCATACAAACTTCCACCCCCTTTGCACCCCAAAGTTTTATCATTATTAATGTTTAAAATAAGTTTTTACATAGTGTATCTATTGAAAGATTAAACTGGCTAAAATTGTGGTTTTAAGAATGTCTGCAATTTACTAGTTACATTATATTAGCTTACTGTCTGTATTTTCTATAATATTTTAATTTTAGATGAAATTTTGGAATGGAAATACTTGATTCTTTAGGAAAGACACACGCTTTACCGATGACCGATATTTGCCCGGGCGGGGCAGCAGACAAAAGCTAGTAATTAAAATAAAAGCAATATATTTATATGCAAAATAATAATTTAATTTCAATAAATAAAACAATAAATAATTTCCTTAATTAAAATCCTCCTTCTCCTCACTCCTTGTCCTCATACTCTGTCCATCCTCTGTAGGGCAATGGTGTGATGTCTCTCTTCCGTCTGTGGTGACCATGATGACCTGCGTAAATTACCTGGTGATCATCATGACCCTCATGGGAAGTGAGTTTCTTGACTCCCACGACGGCTGATAACAACAAGGCGAGGGCAGACACAGCCAGAGCCTGAAAAAGAAGTTGACTCTATAGATCCCGAAGAACGCCTTTTCTGATTTCAGGAGTAAAGATTATGGAAAAAGAAAATTAATAAATTCAAGCGGATATTAATGTGTATATAAGTTTTTTTTTATATAGTAGTGCCCGTTGGACTATAGTTCAACCGCCGTAAGCTTGGCCCTCCTGATGGTTTGGGGGACGCGGGGCGGGGGTGCATTCAACCAATTAGCTAGTGCGTCGCTGTCCGCCGGCAGTGACTGACAGTGTTATTTTTCTTAAGACTGCTACACACGGTATTATTTTGCAACATGGATAATCTGCCGACTCTGCGTTACAAAAATATTTAAAAACTTAAGGTTCGGCTTACAGAGGTTCTATTGTTAAAGTTCTAATAAAGAATATTTATTATTTTACTTAAATTTTAAAATTGTATCTGAATATAATTTACATGATGAAGATAAGGTGATTTTATTAAAATTATTTTACAGTATTAAATTTTACAATTAATCATAAAAACTTACAATACACTGACATTATAATACATGGAAATAAATTCGATTTTTATTACATCGTGTGCAGATTAAATCTCAAACAAATAAATCTGAAGATATCGAGTTAGTACATCGTGTCATGTATAGCCGAGCGCATCACCCGCCCCGCGTCCCGCAAACCATCAGGAGGGCCAAGCTTACGGCGGTTTAACTATAGTGGTTAGTGATCTTGACTTCTAAACCGGAGGTTGTCGGTTCGATTCCCAACCAGGACAAATAATTCTGTAATGAGCAAGATCATTTTATTCTGTATCCGGGTGTAATTCATCTATAATTCTATAAATCGTCATCATCAACAGCCTGAATTTGTCCAGGTATCTCCTTAGAAGGAGGTTTTGGCCCATTATACCACGCTGGCCTGGCTGGTTTGTGTCAAGATTTCCTTCTCTTTGCAGTGCTGTTGGTCCCTTAGCCGGGTCTTACGACAATAGGGGTGGTGACACTCCGTACTATTAACTAACTTATCATCATCAGCTTATTAATACTTAAATATTTCTTAATACTATACATAGTATTTAGAAATATTTAAGTATGTTTATCAGCAGTCTGGTTACTATAGTACAGGCGCTGTCTAGTTTGGGCAACAAACAGCCTTGTGTGAGATGTGTGAGATTTCATTCAATGAGTTCACTACATATTTTTTATGGTATAAGGGGGCAAACGAGCAGACGGGTCACCTGATGGTAAGCAACTACCGCCTATAGACATCTGCAACTCAGAAGTCACAAGTGCGTTGCTGCCTTTAGAGTCCCTCTCGCTCGAGTCAGGGGGAGGTTGGATTTGGGCTCCGGTAACCTCACTCACTCAGTGAAAGGCAACGAAAGAATTGCTTAACACGTGATCTTCTGTGAGGTCGTGGTATCACTCCGGTCGAGCCGGCCCATTCGTGCCGAAGCATGGCTCTTCCACATAAATATTTTTTTTATATACATACATATATATAGATACATTTTATGGTCTCTAACATCATATTCATCCTAAAATATGTGTAAACGAAGGTAATTAACTTCAAAACACGTCACATGATATAAAAATAATCCAATTAGCGACCGAAATAAAATAAAAATGTAATTAACTAATAAAGTTATGTGTTAATGTTCGTTATTATATTCCTATCTTTACGATGTACTTAAGTTGTAACTTGAGATATTACAGTAATTAGGTACATGTACAATGTAATAACTTAGTTATAACATCATCTGTGGTGTGTGCTATAAAACCAAAATACTGCTTAGAAACAGCATTTTTAGATTAGAGAACTCGGAATTTCTGCTGCGTCACTTCTAGTGAATATTTATCACAAAACTACAACACTCTACGTAATTAAAAAAGAAAACCCACTAGAAATATATGCTATGTCACGGGGTGTTTAAAAACATTTATGAAACGGACACAAAGAACATCCAAATTCAGAACAACAATTTCAAGATCACACAAAAGGTTGTCCCTTTTTTCTGTGCGGTAATTCCCCTCGGATACACCCACCGGCGGTTACATCGAACCAACTAAAACCAGCAAGGCATCTCGGGTACCAGTAGGTGGAGAATCAGGTGTACCACATTACTCCGAGGGACCACGGGTCATATTTGCTTGTAGATGACCCCCTCACTGCGGGGATCGATCCCACAACACTTATCGAAGAAGGCGGCGAGGTATTCGCTTAAACCACTACGCCATTCATGCAGTTATTATTTGGTTAAACGTCTCAGACTTTCCTGCAAAAGCCAATTCAAGTTACAGGTACGTGACCTGATATGTTAGAGCTATTGTTTCATCAATCGTCATCAGCAGCCTACAATAGTCCACTGCTGGACATGGGCCTCTCCTTAGAAAGGTGGTTTTGGCCTACTACACCTCGCTAGCCAGACGGGTTGGTATAGGGATTGTTACAAGTTTTCCTTATCTTTTCAGTGCTGTTCTTCTATGCAATTTGCTCTTACGACACCCACGGAATGATTAGGGGTGGTGACACTCTGTATTCTTAATCCATTACCACACGGACAGCGATTGATTACTTTTCTTATTCCATCCGTATTAGCGACATCTCTTTCCTAACTTCTGAGCTACTTTTTCTTTGAATATAGTTCTTTATTATTATATTACGTAAGTGTGACTAAACTTATATTTTGTAAAGTGTGGTCGATTAATACGCCTCTGCGAAAGAGTCCTCCGGAATATACGCTTGAGTTTCCATACTAATTTTATAAATGCGAAAATGTGTCTGTCTAATCTGTTACCTATTCACGCTTAAACCGCTCAACCGATTTAGATGAAATATGGTGAAGAGATAGTTTGAGTCCCAGGAAAAGACTTAGGATCGATTTTCGCCCAGAAATCTTCCTTTATAGGGGTGAAAAGGGGGGTGGAAGTTTGTATTGGGAATGAATAACCGCTAAACCGATTAGGATGAAATTTTGGTATGAAGATAGTTTGATTCTCGAGAAAGGACATAAGCTACTTTTTACCGCGATAACCCACATAAACGCATTCAAAAGCTATGTAAAAATCCATAAAAATCTTAACAATTCGCTGTTTTAATAAACATTATATAGTTAATTTAAAATACATTTTTTGACAATATTAACTGTAATATCTACTCCATCTTTTTTTATCTCATCTTATCTTACAAAAAGTATTGAAAGTATTCATTCGGAATTATACCGATTGATAGACGACAATGACGGTCGACATTATCGTGAGGAAAATTTCATTTGTAACTTGTCACATTGTTTTTAGCGTTCTTTTTGTTTTTGACGTGACAACGTCTTATAATTCGATGGAGCCGGCTGCACGCACGAAAAAACATGACTTATGCGGCGTTACCTCGCTCTGAGGCGTTCCATTTAAGGCGTGAAGTGCAAGCGAGAGCGCGGAACGAGTGACAAAGGGGCACAATCGGCCTCCGCGTTCGGCAGCGTTCGACATCTGACTCTCTCAAGTAGGAACTTGAGTGAGCGGTGCGTCAGCGTGGACAGACAATAATACATTTTTGAAAAATGCAACCATTCCATCAGTATTTTCTTATGACGTTGTCACGTTCAACTATCGTCAGTAAACCAACTTTACAGACAACAGATTTTAATTCTAGTTGGGGGGGAGAGACTCAAAAAGACAAAACTTGGGCATTTTTTTGAAATCGGAAGAAACACTGTTACCGTTACCGACGCTACTGTTTTTTTTTAATATTTACCATTACCCAAAATAAGTTTCAGTTAACCCACACATCAAGGTTATATTTCACTCAACACTTCCGAATCCAAATGAAAGAAACCGCGTTATGTGCAGCTATAACAGTTTCCAATTAAAAACAAATTAAGTAGCAAACATAAATTGATCCGATATTCAACACTTCCTAGTACACAACATGGCGTGTGGTATCTGGCACACGTATCAAACGATTTCCTCGTCACGCTTGTGAACAGCCTCTTTATCCGATGTAATTACACGCTTTTTCTAATTAAACATTACTGTACAATTATCTTGTGGCTTCATGACTTCCTGAGGGAACTGAAAGGTGCTGGGAAGACAATCTGTGAAAAGCTTTTTATGTTCTGAAGTCAGGAAAAGAGGATGTTGGGATAATAAGAAAGATTCATCATCATCGTCATCATCAATAGCCTTTAATAGTCCATTGCTGGACATAAGCCTCTCCTTAGAACGGAGGTTTTGGCCAACTATACTACGCTGGCCAGATGGGTTGGTATAGGGTTTGGGGTGCTGGCTAGAAAACCTCCCCGTGGTGCACCCTGGAAACGCTGGCGATGGTACTGTTTCCTCCTTGTCCTCTTGGAGGAGAGGATTATCGCCAGCGGCCAATATTCTAGCAGAAGAGGCAGCTGTTCATCGGCTCTCGGGCAAGGCCTGGTCCAGCAGGGTGGGCGTGTCTGCCGGTTGCCCTGCTGGCTCTTCGCTCTTCGGAGCATGGAGGAGGAAACCTCGGTAAAAAACCAGATGGCGGGGCCCTGTAGGGGCCACAGTTTCTCCGCTGATAGCGGTGGAGAAAGGAGGACGGGCTCGGCGTGTACTCACACTACCACCGAGCAGGCAGGGGGACGTAGTCTCCCTGTCAACCGTCGGCATATCGTAATCCCGAGAAGAGCGCTGTGGTTAAGTCTCGCGGCTCTGATCGGGGGCGAGGGTCTTGGCTTAACCGCCCGGACCGCGAGGAAGATAACCTCTCTAAAAAATTCCCCGAATCCCGTGTTCTGGTGCGTGGCCAGGGGATGCATGGCTGATGGGAAGTTCAGTCGCGAGCGCACTCCAAGCCGAGGTACCTGCGGACCCCTCGGTTGGGTTAAAAACTTACGCTTGCCCGGGTAATGGGGGATCTCTGCCCGGGTGGACCTTTTAGTTCTCCCCCACTCGTGGGATTTATTATGAATTTGAATACAAATAAAAATACAAAGAAACGGACACAAATGGAAAACAAACAAAACCAGGCAAGCAAAACGGACACTG